TCAAATGAGGAAATAAATGTTTGAATAGCAAAAGTAATTGTAATTAAACAAGACTTTTTTTTTAAGGTTTAAAAATTTCATTTCCATTGTTATTGCCATATCATAAAGCTATTACAGGAATTGCAAATCTCTCAGTGTCTTGCACGGGTGAATGTACCACGTGCAATAKTAACCTGTGTGTTCTCCCAGTGCTCATGAGGGAGCCTGTAATTTCTGCCATATTTTAATTCCTGATTTATCATTTTGTGAGCCTGGGAAGCAGTTTGAAGCTTGTGCTTACAAAAGCAGCAGAGCACAGTGTCACGAGGCAGAGGGATGGATGCGTGCTGCCTTACCTTAAAGATAACACACACAACTGTGCTTTTTARTTAACAGTTTTTGTCAGGAATTACTGAATTCTGTGAAATTTAAGATCAAAGTYTGGTTATGTTTTAAATCCAGCATCMGATTATTTTTGTTCACTATSATTTCATCTTTCTGAACGAGGTGATTTTTCTTTCTTAAAATTGGCCTAATCCTTGTCTTGTCTAAATTCCTGCTCAAGTTTTTGGGAACTTTTTTTTAAGGGAAGTGTGAGGAAAGTGGGATTTGACACACAAGTACCCACACSAGTTTGCTGTGTTTCCTGTGCAAGTTTGGTGAATTACAGCCATTATTTTGGAGAAGCTGTAATTAAAAGTCGCTGCCAAATTCTGTCAGTTCAGCGACCCAAAACATTCTGAAACGAGGTCAATCCCTGTCTCAACGGTCAAGAAAATTGCCAAGTTTAAGAAAGCAAAGTCACTCCCCTCATCTGTCCCCCCCACCATATGGGAGCGTTCAAACTGTATCAGCATTCCTAAGGCAGCTCTGGTGAGCCAGGCTGAATTATTCCTTTGTCCAGGGAACAAGGCACCGACACAAACTGAAAATACCCAAAACCTCTTTGTTGTGTGTGTAAAACTTGAGTTTTTTGATGCAGATCTCTTGCATGACTTTAGGAGTGCCAGGAATCTGTTACCTCTGTGCTGGTTTTCTGTTTCCATGGGTGCAAGAACTGAATTTGTTCTTTTCTTTCTTATTTTTTTTTCCTCTGTAGAAAGCAGGCATTGAGGATTTAACCTGTATATTAACCATTCCTGTATCATTCCAATAAAGTTGTTTTAGAACACTTTCTCACACCATGACTTGCTTGCATGTTTTGTTCACAGTTTGAATTTTGAAGCTGAAAGTGGAGTTCTCAGATGAAAACGCTTCAAAAGTTCAGAGTTTATACAAGGTGAACACCATGGATCTACTGCTGCTGTGTGTAGAGTCTTCTGGGTTGGATCTCTCACCTGCTGCAGCTAATGGATTTAATTACTAAATGGGATTTAATTTAGGATACACCTACCCAAAATAGTGTGTCAAGGTTTGGGTTATTTCCCTGATTATTCTGCTTTCCTGGGCATTCCCCAGGAAAGCTTGGAAGTGGCCAGGACACAGCAGCTGCTCCCRCACTCACAGAACTCACCCACCCCTCCCCAGCTCGTTTACAAACTGTAATTAATTAGCTTTATGCTGCTCACAGCAGGGAGCTCTGATATTTCATATTTGTGTTGCCACAGGGCAGTGCAGGATCAATTTTAAACTTCACTTTTACCTTCCCTGTTTGCCCGGTAGATCAGCAGGTACCTCCTTCCTGCTTCACATGCTGACATTTTGCACCCCCTGGAAGATCTGTGGAGTTACAAATCCCAGAYTTCACATCTTTTGGAGGATACCAATAACCTGATCTTTTTAAGAGTGGTTTGTAATTTTTACAGGATCATCTTCTGTGTGAGTAACTAAAGCACAGCCAAGCACCATTAGTCACAGGGTTTTGCAAGGGGGCTATTGCTTGTCCCTCACACTTGTCCTTCCGTAGTGTCACAGAACTGGTCCATAAGATGGGAAAAGGGCCATGAATGCCATTTCTAAATTTTAATAAATCCCATTTACTYCCCCTGTGTATCCCCTCCACTTGCACCACTCAGAAAACTGCTTTTCTTTTATTAAATTGGCTTAAAAATCCAGTTGTTATTAATGCAAAGCTCAATACAGTTTCCTAAAACCTTTAAAAACCAAGCTACGCATGTGTGACAACTTTCCCTACACCAGGCTGCWCATATCCTAATCTCATGGCACAAATAAATCATTCCCAAATCGTTACCTTTTAGTGAGTTTTCTGCAGAAATATTCTGTGACTTACCCGTATCATGTGAACCTGGTAGAATGTTTTAAAGGTTCATTATGGCAGTTTTGAAGTTTATGATAAAAAATTTTTGACCATATTGGTAAACTTTTGGAAATGTAAAAGAATTCTAAAAGTTGAGGTGATGAAGTAGAARTTGCTGGATTACTACAGGTGAGCACAAGAATGAGTACTGAGTGTGMTAAATASATATATTTAGTACAAAATACACGTGTTGTATTCATGAAGTAGCAGAATTGGTCCTGTATATATGGTAATAGTAATATATAGTAATACCTTATAGATATATGCATATATACACATACTTTTACACATTTGCTCTACAGCAATATATAATTCCTTTATACTAGAATTCTAGTAATTCCTTCTCTCACAGGTTAGTTTATTGAAGATATCAGGAATTAGGCCATTTCTTAAATTTTTAATTCACTATTTCAAAATCCTTAAAAGGAAACCAGCACATCCTTAACGACGTCAGCAGCATTATCATTCCCATATATCTGGCTCCAGTTCTTTCCCCAGCACGCAGGGCAGGTTATTTTGTGTTTACAGGAACGCCCCGAGTCCCGCCMGGCCCCGCTCTGAGGGGCCGCAATGGCGCCCGGGCCCTGCAGCAGCGCCGCGCGCCGTTGCCGCGGCAACCAGGAGCCAATCAGCGACCGATAAAAGTCCGCCCCGTTTTTTATTGGACAATATAGCTGCCAGTCATCGTTAAGTCACGCCCACCCAGTACTTAAGCCGTGAGGGCGGGGCGGGCGATGCACGCGAGCTGTGGGTGTGCGGGGGTTCTGTGGCCTGGGGGTGGTGTCGGGGTGAAATCCCCCTTAGAATGAAAATAAAGTGTTCGTAACTGCTGTGCTTAGGAAAAAAAAAACCCTCGACGTAAAACCTTTTAAACCCGTCAGTATCTTATTTCATGTTCATTTGCGTGTGAAGTACGCAGCCTGTGCTGAAAGTACAGACATGCAGCCGTAGTTCATATCATATATATAATATTGAGTGGTAGTATTTACTTTTTCCAGATAYGAGTGTTAATATTCTTTTTCAATATATACTCGGCTCTAAATTCTGACATCCTTGCCTTGCTTTTTGTCCTAACTCCAGACTGCACTCRGCTTCTGCTGTAACTTTAGTTCTATCTCATTCTGATTTTATTTTTCTAAATAGAAGGGCATATCTTTTGGGTAAGATTTCATTGAAAGACTACATTGATTTTTGCTTGGATATTGATGCATTTAACAYCTGAATCCCAGGATGGTTTGGGTCGGAATGGACCYTAAAGYTCATCTCATCCCACTCCAAACACCTTCCTTGGATCAGGTTGCTGGGCATGAAATGGAAGTTGACTTGGTTTTAATCACTCCAGACAAATTATCTGACTCGATTTCTTCCTCCTTCTCTTCTTTTGTGTTCTGTTGAAACAGCTGCACAAAAATTCCAGCTGCAGCTGGCACTAATTACAAGCTTGGGGAGGTTTAAAACTTGACTTGAAATTTGATTCCCCCTGGTTCCTGCCCCCGAGGCTGCGGGCAGTGACTGCTGGAGCCCCAGCCACACCTTCTGTGCCCAAATTGCCTGTGTGAAGTGATTAAAAAACAGGTCATTTTGAACAACTTCTAAATATTAAATGAGTTTTACATAAATTTGGTGGGAGTAAAAATAGCTTTCATGAAAACGAAAGTATTCTGTGAAAGACAGGTGAAAAGGAGAGAGGTCAGGTAATTTTAGAGAATTCATTGAAACTGTAGGGCCTGAATTACTCCAAACCTAATTTTTAAGGCACAACATGACTTCCCACTGACAGGGGGCAGGGTTAGATTAGATATTAGGAAGAAATTCTGCCTTGTGAGGGTGGGGAGGCCMTGGCACAGGGTGCCCAGAGAAGCTGTGGCTGCTCCTGGATCCCTGAAARTGTCCAAGGYCAGGTTGGACAGGACTGSGAAGAAGCTGGGATAGTGGAAGGTGTCCCTGCTGTGGAATGGGATGATCGTTTGTGTCTTACTCCCATCATTGAACAGTGTCTTTTTACAATCTTTCATTTAATACTTGTGTATGATTCAGCTCCTGATTTATTTGGTCTTTTTATCTTCTGAGAAAAAAGAAATTTAGAGAAGGCCTCAACAGAAAACTCTTCAGACTGTCTGTGGGCTGCATCCTGCACTCAGGGATGGCTCTGTGCACAAACTTGGCTTCAGCTTCAAGAGGACACCTAAAACCCCATGGGAACACCTGTGATGTGCCAGAGGCAATTTTTGAACCCCAAAAGAGTGGCTTTGGTCAATGAGCAACAGAACTGTGCAGAGCTGCCACTGTCTGCTGCTTTCAGATTGGCACATCTTCCTGTTCGCATTTCATAAATGTGGGGATTTCATCGAAATCCGGACCAGAGGAAGTTGCCAACTTCTTTCCTATCAGTGGCTCATCACAAGACTCTAAATTCAGCCGTGTGTTTGCAAAGGGGAAGTGGTGTCAGTCCACAAGTCAGCTGAGCAGTGCCAAGCTCCTGCCAATGGAAGTGTTGGTGGGATTTGGTTCCAATTTCACTCTGCCCTGACCCTCTGCTCCTTCCCCGTGCCCTGTTCTGGCAGTCAGCAGCATTTCAGCATCGCACTGTGGTCAGGAACATCTCAATTCATTTTCAAACATCCTCTTTCAGGCTCAGCCCTCGCTTTGTGTTCAAAAACCGCGCCCGTTCCCAGCAGGATCACTTCTGTTTTATGAGGGAAAAAAAGCTGGGGAACTGCATCATGAGTGCGTCAGGGTTTTTATGCACAGACAGCAGTGAGGAAAGAGTGTGAAATCCTCTGCCCTCTGCCAGCAGCTGCAGCAGGAGAGCTCTGGGCTCAGGGAAATCTGCCTCAGACCCAGCTGGGCTTGGTAAGTTGGGRTTTTTGTGCCTTTTTTWAAWTTTTCCTTATGCTTTCCAGAACTCAGGAAAACACTCACTTTCTTTTGAAGGGACCAGTGTTTCCAAGATTGCCATCTTTTAGCTCTACATGAGCATCTTCAATATAACCCAAAATTTATCAGCAGGTGAGGAGCTGGGGATGTTGAGGTCCTACAGACCAGGKTGAGGATGTCCTGCAAGGCACACAACATTCCACATTCCATGAACCTTTAGCAAGATTTACACTGCCAGGTATTCTTCTTTCTTTGGAAATTGGTTAATTAAGGCCCTTAAGTGCTTAAGAAAGTGTTGCCCTGCTTTTTACATTTGTAAATGACTCTGTARATAACCAGCTGTGCTAATGTGGCCGGGTCTGCTGCCTTTTCCACCTCAAAATTCCAGTGTTCCCTTCAGCTTCAGGGAGGGAACTGTGCCAGTCAAACTAAAAGAACCCCACAAYAATAAAAACCAAGCAGCTGTGCTGCTCCAGCATGTAAATATTAGGGAGAAAGTCACGTTTTCCATCTTTCCAGTGATTGTCAATATCTCCTGTAAGGGCTACTGGGATGGAGAATTGACCCAGTGCAGCAAGTTTCAAATGTACCAGGGTGTAGTGGTGTGTTGGAAAGTGTTGAGCCATGAGCACCTTTTGGATGTGTGAAGATCCGTGAATTATGGAGAGATTAAAAGGATATTTGAAGAACAGAATGATCTTCTAATGTTCACATTTCCCATTCCTCCATAAGAGCAGAGGTGATGATCTCCTCAGTGAGTTCAGGTCAGACTCCTGAAGATTCCCACTGATTTCACCAGTGGGTGAATTGGAAAGGAATGATAAGGAATCATTAAACACAGGAGATTGAGAYARTTATCTCTTCACTATTATCACTATTGGGGGAGGTAAATTAACTGTTTGTAACTTTGCAGTTCATCATTAAGAGGGACTCTAAACACATTTGATCTGCATTTTGAATACAGTTTTATACTTGCAGAACTCTCAGCATTTTTCAAAGCTCCTTGGCACTTCACAGGAGGGCTCAAGTCAGAAACAACATCTAAATCTGAATTTAATATTTATTTCCTTTCTATGTCACCTCTTTAGCTCTTGGAAATTGTTGTTTTTTAATGGAAAACATTGATGGTATTGACTGATGGTATTGACACAGACAAGTAAAATGATTTTGCTGATTTTTACAGCTTATAAAGTACAGTCTCAAGTAGCCATCATGCAGAAGAGACATAAGAGCAGAAGGGATTTTACAGATGAAACAGCTGATTAATGCCCTCCCTGTATCTTCAGGGACAGATTTTTTGGACATGGTAAAGAGGAAAAGCATGCAGCTTAATGTTTGCTAAAAAKAAATGCTTGAGAGGGAAAGAAAAATCACAGCCTTTGTGTGAAGTACATTTTTCATTAATAATAATAACAATAACAACAACAACAATAATAATATAATTATTATATAATTGCTGTTGTTGCATTCTGCCTGTCTTTCAGTCGCAGGGCTCCATGGAACTCTGGTGATCCCTGCTGCTCACGCTTGTCACCATGCTGGCAGAAGGCATCCTAACGAGGCTCATCTATAAAGAAATCTGTCATCAAGATAAGCCTTGCAAATCTCCTGCATCCCAAAGGGCTAAAGAGGGAATCTGGAGACAGAAGCTTGTAGACATCCCAAAAATTAAAGGCTTTGCTGATGGATGTGAGAAGCGGGAGGAGCTCTCTGCCAGAAAGAGCAAAGCAGAGCTCAGGAGTGGCCCTGGATGGGGATCCATAGAAAAGGAGCCTGCAAAGGGTCAGGAAATCCTGGTTCAAGGAACAGCATCCCCAGCTTTACATATCCCCAAGAGAGCAGGGAGCCTGGACCAGGTGGATTTGTACAGATCCTGGCYGTGTGAGAGCATTTACCAGAACTACCCTGACCTGCAGATCGGGGGGGACCGCGTGGGGGGCCACACGTGTGACTCGGGCTGTGTGCTGGACCACGTGTGTGATGAGCTGCCTGACGGCCCTGTCCTGCTCTCTGTGGATATTCCCCTGGACCAGTCCCCTCAGTGTGAGCCTCCCAAACAGCCCAGTGAAATGTCCCTGCCTGGAGATGAAGCTGGGGAAAGGAGCATCGTGTGCACTGAGGAGCCCCTTTCCAACTCTGCGCTCAACAAATACATGGAAGCCAAAGTGGCAGAGCTCTACAAACAGTTTTTTGAAGAGAGCCTGGCCAGGTGTGGTTCCATAACAAACCTGCTCAGCTGCAGCTGGCTGAGGAGCAGCCTGGACCAGATAAGTGTTCGGATCTCCAAGGAGCAGAACATAGAAACCTCCAAGGCCAGAGGAGCCCTCTTGCACTCGCTGGCTTTGTTCAGCTCCCGCAACGCTCCCAACAGGAATAGCTCCGAGTTCAGCACCCCAAACCTCCAAATCTCCAGCAGTGGGGTTGCAAAATGGAGTTGCAGGACGGAATTCACGTCCTGACTGAGCTGCTCAGCTCAGGAGAGGGATGTGATTYGGGTATGAATGTTTCACTCCGAGGATTAGGCTGGGAAATGGAAACATTTACACACTACACTTGTTTGAATTAATATTTTAAGGCATAAACCCCTTTAGTAGCAGGTGAAGTAAAGGTCACTCTTTTGTAATAGAGAATTTGAAATTAACTTCTCTCCAAAATACTGGTTAATCACGTTTTTATAAYGTATATGGAATCATAGAACTGTTAAGCTTGGAAGTCACCATAAGAGCATCAAGTCCTATCATCTGCCCAGCACCACTAAACCAAGTTCCACACCCACACATAAAAGCATTAATTTTGTGCAAAATCACAAMTTTTTTTTGAGCATAGATGACTGCAGTATTCCTAAAAGAATAGTGCAAAATTCCTGCACCTTCATTTGGAAATTCAGATGCAGATTTTGTGTGGAAATTCTGTTCTTTATCTTTTGAACACATTTTCTTCCTTTTCTCTTGCTTTCTGGCAAATATTTCAGCTGGAAGTTATTATGTCACCACTGTAAAATGGTAGATGAATGAGACTGTTAATTGCTCTGCAGAAGTTTTTTCTAATAAAGTTTTTGTTGGGTGTTTTTGCTTGTGGTTAGTTTTTTAAATATTTTAATCCAGCATCTTTATTTCTTGGGCATTTCTTAAAATCTTTGAGCTGAAAATATCAGTGTGATTGAGAAGAAGCTGCTCTCGAGGGAAAAGTGATCTGAGTTGGCAAAGTAAAGATTTCTCTCCCCTAATTAAAATGATAAGGAAAGATAATTCCTGATAAAGAAATAAATTAATAAAATTTAATATTAATAACATGCATCCAAGACCTAACTGATCATTGCCTGACCAAAAATTCCCATTGACCTTGGTACTGGAATATAAGCAATGCTGAATCTCATCCTTGTTTTTAGGAGGATGAGAGGAAAAGGATGTTATTGCCCTAATTCCACATGTGTCTCATTAATCCCCTCCTCAGCRTTCAAAATCAAGCCAGGAGTCTGTTGGAAGAGACCAAATGATTTCATTAAATTCCAGAGGAGTCCAGGGTGGGCAGAACTCTCCAGATTTCCCTGCTGGAGGTGCAGAGAGTAACCGAGGGCGCGAGGGGAAATATTCCAAAGGGCATCAGTAGCTGAAGATTTTGCAATTATCCGTGGCGAGAAGTRCTCTGTGGCATTTGTGCAGCCCTTGGTTCCCCCTGGGATCTATTTACAGTTCAAACCAAAAGTCTGGCCAAGAAGTTAATTGCACCAGGTTCTTCCTCAGGAAATGAGGAAGTCGGAGGTTAAACCTGAGCTCCAGGCTCGGGTGGTTTTCTGTCCTTCCCAGCGCTGAAGAATGCGTTGGAGGAGCCCCTCTCTGCTCTGCTGCTCCCCTCAATCCCAGCCCCAGGAACCAAAGCCAATGGATCAGCAGTGATCCCACTGCAGTGGGAGAATCCCTGATGGATCTGCTTCTCCATCCCCTGACAGAAACGGGGTGGTGGACAAGAAAATGGCCATCAATAATTTTATTTGGCATAATCTGCGTTTACTGAGAAGTTGTCTTCATCCCATCCCTTCTCAGGGCTGCTTTCARAGCTCATTTTCTAATTATTTGTTATTATTATTCATTAAATATGTGGGCAGTGTGAGTTGGAATGAAAACAAAACCACACAACAGCAGCGTTTCGAGGAAAATAGGTAATTTAAAACACACAATGACGTGTTTTTGCAGCACAAATGAAAGTGCAGGTAAATGCACGTTGTTGATGTAAAGCAGATTGTATTTTGTTATTGATTTTAGATCGTTTTGGCCGTGGAAAAATATTGTCCATGAGCTTTTCTCCCCCCCAAGTATTTGCTACTCTGGTTTAATCCAGGATTTTAGTAACTTCTCAAAAYTAATTTCTCTCTGTAGGAAGAAAGATATTGCTGCACAATACATTTGAGGGGCAAAATCTGGTCATTTCTAAAAAGCCRAAACAAATACATTTATTACTTAAACATGATTTTAATTTCAATTTTGTTTTAATTGACATGTTGCRATCCATGACCTGCTTTGGATTTATTTCTATTTGGAAGATGCTGAGTCCCATTATAAGTTTGAATAAAACTCCATCAGCTGCACTGGAGCTATGCCCRTTTTCACTAGCAGGAAAAATGCCTCATTGAACCCAAATTCCATGGGGAAAATCCCTGGAAAGGTGCTTTTCCAGCCCGCTGAAGGGCAGCAGCTGGATTTCATTACAAGGGAAAGCAGTGCCATATTTTACAGGGCAGAAATCCACAGCCAGATCCTGCCTGGAGTTCATTTTTAGCCCCATGCCAGAAATTCTGATGCTGGATGAGAAATGCTGGCAGGAAAATTTAACCTTCATATCCAGCTCTCATTCCATGTTCCCACAGAGGAATATTCACCAGGTCCTGGGACCCAGACCCTGTAGAAAGCTGGACTTTTTAGTTAAATTTCCCCAATTAATCCTGGAGTCAGGATGTTCCCCAGCCTGCCTTGACTGTGGGAAGGTGACTTCATCTGCCTGGAGGATAATTGGGATTTTTGCACATTAACATTTTTTTTCTGAGATTTATTAAATAGGCAAATGGTGATATCTAGTGGTGGTTTCCTTTAGTACCTTCCAGGTCAGGATTTTCAGAGCTTCACAACCATTTTGCAACCTCAAAGTCYRTCTTTTCTCTGGAGGGAGGATTATWTCYCACAAAAAGGATGCCCAGGTGTGCAGAATAACAACTTCCATCAATTAATATTCTAGTCAAGTTAAAATCTAGAAGGATTAAAAACCTTAAAAACAAAGGCCAAATCCTTCCCTTTGGGACTAAAAAACCTAGCTGACAATCAGAAAAATCTCAAACACTAAATACCTGTATTTTTCATTAATCACTCTCTTAAACATGAAAATGCCACTTGTTTGTTAAGCGAATGAAACTAAACCTGAGTGGCTTATTTTTTTTCACCCAAAATGTAAAACATTAATCTGCTTTTCATGGGCTGAAGTCTACTTTTTAGCAGAGTATTTTTTCTTGCTCTCCCCTAGTTTATCTAGTTTATAAATGGTATGGCAAAACTGATTTTTTTCTCTCTGTTTTGCTCCTGTTTTACATACAGATTCCAAAAATTCAGATATTTGATTGTAATGAAGCTGGTTTTCTTTACCAGAAGATCCTCACCACTTAATCATTGCCTGCTTTTCCTTTAAGTTCATTTATTTGTGATAATCCCGTTAATCAGTTGGGAATGTAAACCACTTGTGAGGGCCAGTGGTCATTTGATAAATGAGTGCCCAGGTGCTGAYGAACCTTCCAGTCCCACACCCACCATCCTGGCTCCCTCCTGGGGGGAAATAAAAGGGTTTAGTGGGGTGCTGTGAATCCTAGGAGGCTAAGGACCCTTTTGGAAGGTAAAAAAATTTGGAGGAAGATTTGATGCTCTGGAGCAAAACAGGGGGAGATTTGTCTGTGAAGCTGAATTATTGAATCTTGCACAGAATGTGTTGGGATCCTGTGAGGTTTGTGTCCAGCAGGGCTTTGTTTTTCTCGGGATGTGTGTTTGGGGTCTCTTTGGAGGAGAAAAATTTGTTGCTGTTTTTACAATCTTTTAAACTGCAATGCTTTGGGAACAATGTGGYACCTCRCTGCTTTTCCTGGGGCTTTGTTTGRTGGTGTTTCTGAAAGAAACGTGAGCAAGGAGCTGAGGAGCTTCCCCTGGGGATGGGAAATCACAGGTGGGGCTGAAATCAGCACCAGAAGAAGAGCTGAGACTCGCTGGGGTTTTGTGTCCCCTCACAAAATAGTAATTTACTTTCAGGGTAAATGAAAACAGCGTCTTTCCTAAACACTGCTGGGGTTGGGTGAAGCTAAGGGATGGGCTCTGGGCTCTGTGGGATTCTCTGGGAATATAAAATCTGTTGTGGAGCCAGGCTGGGACAGCTGGGGGGGTTCTGGAGAAGAGAAAAGCTCCAGGGAGAGTTGAGAGCCCTTCCAGGGCCTAAAGGGGCTCCAGGAGAGCTGGAGAGGGACTGGGGACAAGGGATGGAGGGACAGGACAAGGGGCAATGGCTTCCCACTGCCAGAGAGCCGGGTTAGATGGGATATTGGGAAGGAATTGTTCCCTGTGAGGGTGCTGAGGCCCTGGCACAGGGTGCCCAGAGAAGCTGTGGCTGTCCCTGGATCCCTGGAAGTGCCCAAGGCCAGGCTGGACAGGGCTTGGAGCACCCTGGGACAGTGGAAGTTGTCCCTGCCCRTGGCAGAGGTAGGGCTGGATGATTTTTAAGGTCCCTTCCAGCCCAAACCACTCTGTCATCCCATGTCTTTTTTTTAACCTTTTCTCCCTTTCTCCCCACACTGGTGCAGGAAGGGATTTCCTGCCTCTCGCTGTTGTGTTGGGTCACAGAGGCTTTGCTTTCTTGGGCTCTGACTCACTATTTAGGGATCCTTGCTCCTCCTCCAAAAAGTTTCTAATTTTGTGCAATAATGCAATTTCTTAATCTGCTTCGTTGCCTTTTTTTATTCTCACTCCCCCTCTGTAGTGACTCCACACTTCTGCTTTCCCTTGCCAAATCTGTAATTCCCACAAACCATTTATTCCCTTGTTCTGTCTGTTGCTTAACCATATAAAGTTGATATTTCAATAATTAATTTACTGAATTAAATAATTAATTAATACTTCTCAGACTGAGAGGTGACAAAAGTTAACAAAGACCTGCTCTCACTTTTTTTTTTTGTTATGAGTTGTGTTGGTGCTTTGTCCCAAGTGASTGARATTTGTGAACATRATAGAATAGGGAACAGAACTGCATRCCCAGTTTCCTGAAAATCTTGCCTTGAAGTTTTGAATTAACAAATTTTCTTCCTCTTTCTTGGTAGTTGAATTATAAAAAGACCCTTTCCTGGAATGGAGAGCAAAACCACGTGTTGGACAGGTTGAGTTTGTACAAATGTGACCAAAATGCTGTGTGTGGGGTGCTGGTGGTGTTTTCAGGCTGGGAARGGCYATGGGCACAGCTCCMTTTGCCCTCCAGRCTCTGCTCCAGCCCAGCCACAGCAGGGACAGGTCACTGAGCWCAGGAAAAGGACCTGGGGACAGCTTTATTGAGCATTTTTATATAAMAGAGACACCCTTGGAAGCAGCCACCTGCCTGTGTTCATTCCATGGAGAGAAACCAAAACTGCATCCAGCAGGTGAAAGATTTCAGGGGAAAGTGTGGATTTCTCCCAACAATGTGGGACCTGGGGGCGGTGTCCTGAGGCCAGTCCTAAATGGGGACTGATCTCCACGCTGAGGTGAAATCCATGAATTAAATATCCAAGATATCACCAGTAAAGAGGCAGAATGTGCTCGCACTCCGATGAGATGAATTCTCTTAACTTTTTCCTTATCAATATTCCGGTTGCTTGTTGTAATTTTGTCCAAATTCTCCTTAAACCCAGATTTTGGACAGGAATCACTGATGTATTAAATCTCAGCTCACTGCAGCATCCAGGTATTTCTCAGTGTCCCCATGGTCTGTGACGTGCTGAAGTCCCAACGTGACAGCTCTGGGTTTTCTGGTGTTTTCCATTCCTGCTGCCCAGAATAGCTGCGGGTGGATCCTTCCCAGAAGGGGAAGTGTGATGAGTGGCTTGAAGGTTTTTAGGGTAAGCATTTAAAAAAAAAAATTACTTCTAAAAAAGGGGGAAAAAAAAAGAGATGGCAGCACTAAAGCATTGCCTGGGTGCTCCCAAATCTCTGTCCCAGAGTTCAGCGTGGAACACTGTAGGGTTTCCACAGGGAAAGCCAAGGGCTCCCTCAGGGATAATCCACGAGGGACTTTGGGGCTGTCTGTGGTCAGGAAGTGCCTGTTCCCTGGGTGAAAAGATGCAGAAATGTCTTGTTTTTGTGGCAGGAACCTGAATTTTGGTCACTGATGTCGCATCCCACGATAATTCTCTTCTTTTCCCAGTCTTCCTCATTCCACCAGGAGCAAGGTGCCCATCAGCACAATTGTGGGGGTCAAAATTCAGCCTGGGCATCCAAAAATGTGGGAAAGAGCATTACATTAGAGGAAAAAATGAGAGCTTGTCCATAAACATCAGTTCAAATGATGTTCACAGGGAAAAGCGGATCAATAAAATCGATAGCCATTACCAGAGGAACAGAACGGATTCTGTTATCATAGAACTTTGGAAAAACATTTTGTCTGTGGCTTATTCATGGCTAATGTATGATAAATTTGATGATCTTAGAGGTTTTTTCTAACCTTAATGATTCTATGATTTTATAAGGTTGCTTTCTTTGAAAAACTGAACCTATTTTGATTTTATCCTCTCTGCTGACCTTCCTCAAATTCTGTCCCAGCTGTGTTGGTTTTTTTCTGATTCCATTATTAAATAAATATAGATTCAACACACAAAACCAGTTTTTAGGATGCTGTTGAGCTCCCTTCTGCAAGGCTTTTTTCCTCTCCAGGAKGCAAACATTTAATTTTTGGCTTAARGAAAATCTAGCTGAATATTAACTTTCTTGCTTTTTTTTTTCCCCCTCAGAACAGCAAAAGATAAAATGGATCATTTGGGGATGGAGTGGAATAGGGGGGTTGGCAGAACTCCTTTTCCATTYTGCCAAATGGAACTAGTCCTCCAACTCTTCACTTTCACACCAAATATTTCAACAGAAAGACGAAATGTGACAGCTTGGGATGTGAGCCCAGGCTCAGAGCTGCTTCCATTGCTCTTCCTCTGGCTGAATAATTTCTTAATTACTTCTTAATTGCTGTTAAGAGCACTGTTCTCCCTTCCTCAGTGTAATGTGTGATTTCTTGTTAGATATTAAGAAGAAATTCCTCCCYGTGARGGCTGCAGGGCCTGGCACAGGTTTTTCCACAGCAGCTGTGGTTGAAGTGTCCAAGGCCAGCTTGGRTGGAGCWTGGAGCACCCTGGAATAGTGGGGGTTTGGGGTTTGGAAGGAGATGAGCTTTAAGGTCCCTTCCAACCCAAACCATTGTGTGATTCCACGAAATTCAAATGAACCCTGGCCAAGCAGAAAGAAGTCACTCGCAGCCTGCGTCCCTCCCGTCCTCCAAAATTTATCCTCCTCCTGCCTTAAAAATGGGGTGAGGAGCAGGGATGGTGGTGCTGAGGCCCAGGATCTGTGTCCTGGGACTCCACAGCTCCAAAGTGGGTCACCAGCCTGTCACTGGCGCTCTGTTTTGGTGTCACTCAGGCGGCTGAAGGGCACAAATGGGCCATCGATCCGTCTGGCACCAGCCCCGGGCCCGAGCTGTCATTACCAACATTCTCTCTGTTTGTGCCTCTTGAAACATCATCAACCTCACTGAAACTTCACCACGGAGGAATTTGACCCATTATTTCTTTTTTTTTTTTCCTCTATTTTAAAAATTTGTTAAATGTTGTTGCAACTGCCTTCATTTTCCTGTTTTTCCAGCTCAGTTTTTGATGCTGTTTTCAAGAGAGATGAAGRGCATTTTTCCTGTAAATCTTTTTTACAGGAAGCTTTAAGCAATTGTGGAGCCTTGTTTGTCGTGCACAGGTGACCTCCATTCCTGCAGCTCTGTGTTTAGCCCAACAACTGGATGATTTGCTTGTTTTACCAACTGAAAAATGATTACCAGCAATGTTGGGTTTGTGTTCTCTGTCTGGGCCTAGGAGAAATCCAGGGAATCCCCCTGTGTGATGGAGCTGTTCTGGGATGGGGCTTTTTATGGGACCTGTTCTGTCTAACAGCAGTGAAAGTTAATTTTTTCCCCTCCAAAAAGGATTTTTGAGAGACTAGGAGTGAAAATACATCAAGAGCTGGGACTAAAATGTGAGTTTGCCATTGGTCTGAGGGCGCACAAGGCGTTTCCTCAAGGAAGCATCCACAGGGGTGATGTTTCCTCAAGGAAGCATTCCTGTTTGGGCACGTGGCACCCAGAAGTGCCGGTCTCCAATCTCCAAGTGCCAATTTCCAGTGGGATCTCCCAGCTGGAAGCTGCTGGACCAGGGAGGGAGATCAGCATCAGTTGGAGCGTTTGCTCCTCCCCTCGCCGGTGTTTCCAGCAGCGCTTCCACCCGCTCAGCCCCGCTCCCAGGGACATGGAGAGCTCTGGACACAGCTCTGCTGCTGTTCTGGCTGGGTCCTGGCTCTCCTGCATCCTCCAGGTCCCCCGGGTGGGTGCTCTGCAGGAGCCACTGCTGGAGGATGTGATCCTGGAGAACATCAGCTGGGCTGCGGAGGACGCCCAGGGCAATGACTCCTCGGAGCACGCCTTCTTCTCCCTGGATTACCAGCACGTCCAGGTGCCCTTTGAGATCACGCTCTGGATCATGCTGGCCTCCTTGGCCAAAATTGGTAAGGATGAGGAGGGATCTCTGTGGGGATTGAGTGGGCAGGGGTGGCTTTGGCTTCTCCTCTTCCTCGGTCTTGGAGTCTGAGGTGACGCACCCAATCCTCAGGGTTCACACACTGAGCACCAGACACACTGCTCGGGTGGAAAACAAGTGGCATTTTAGGTTGGAAATGGTGGTTTTCCATCTAGAAATTCACACCTGGGAGTGATGTTGCTGTTAGGAGGGTTTCCAGGAGGAGGAATTTGATTTGACTGCAGGGCACACCAAGGTGTGTGTTCACCCTGATTTCCTTGCCAGCCACGCTCTGCACRGGTTGTCCACTGACATCTTCATCTTAAAATGAAGATTCCTTGTTCTTCTAAAAGTGCTCTGTGTCTGGTCAAGGAGTAATTCCATACACAGCCTGAAATAAAATCTCTCTGCACTGATTGTCTGTGCAAGGATGTCTAAGGAAGGTTTAAGTTACGCAAAATATCTGGACTTTTTGTTTTTTCCTCTGCAAAACTGGGCATAGAATAAGTGAAAATTATATATAAATATTTTTCTTCAGGAATTGTGGTCACTTCTGTTAAATTACTGCTATGAAAGTTTTTTTACAGCATTTTTTCTTTTGTTTCTTTTCCTCCAAATGGAGAAGTCTCTAAGATTGGGTTTGATCAGAATTCTTCAGATGGAAATGTTCTTTTTATCTCACTAATTTAATGTTACATAATGAGACCCCAATTCTAGTCACATGCATGAAGTCACATAATAATGATCAGAGATATTTTAAAACTATTATTCCTATTCCAATTTGGTTTATTTCAATGACTTTTTCTTTTAATAACTCACCTTGTACTTGTGGTTGTTGTTCTAACGTTGGGCATTGCACAAGACTGGCTTGATTGGATACATTTTAGCTTTAAATGCTAATGATTAAATAATATTAAAAGTAACCTGTTTATTATTAATGAAAGGCTTTTTGTGTTTTTTTAAATGTATAGAATCTGTATTGTGTTTAAAATTAGAAGTTGCTATTTATTTTAGTGCTGAAGATGCTGACTAGATTACATAATTAATAATTCCAAGTGCTTGCTTATTTATCCAGATTATTACTTTCTGTTTATTACCTCAGTATATCTCTCTAAGCATATGCTATGATGAAATGAGGTTTGAGCTGACAATAATTTGAGAAAGTTTGGTATTTTCAGTAATTTTTAGATTTTCTGAGCGACTTCACCCTCACTGTGTGAATTTATTTCTGCCACTCTGAGGTGTAAACCCGAGCATGGGGACCTTCTGAGGGCCCATTTGAAATGATTTGATGTCACCATTTTTATCCATCCAGGGTTCCATCTCTACAACAAACTGCCTTCCGTCGTTCCCGAAAGCTGCTTGTTGATATTTGTGGGACTCATCATGGGGGGAATCATCTATGGATTAAATGACAGGTCACCCCCAGTGATGGACAGCGACATCTTTTTCCTCTACCTCCTTCCCCCCATCGTGCTGGACGCCGGTTACTTCATGCCCAGCCGCCCTTTCTTCGAGAACATCGGCACCATCCTGCTCTACGCCGTGGTGGGCACCATCTGGAACGTGTTTGGGATTGGCTTTTCCCTGTATGGGATCTGCCAGGTGAAAGTTTTCCGGCTGCAGGACGTGTCTCTGCTGCACAACCTCCTGTTYGGCAGCCTCATCGCCGCCGTGGACCCCGTGGCCGTGCTGGCTGTCTTTGAAGAGATCCACGTCAACGAGAAGCTGCACATCCTGGTGTTTGGGGAATCTCTGCTCAACGACGCCGTCACTGTGGTGAGGTCATGGTTTGGAACCTTCAGGGGAGGGTGGGAGATCTCAGYCTGCAGAAAAGGAGGCTCAGGGGAGRSTTTATTGCCCTCTACRACTCCTTGAAATGAGGTTGTAGCCAAGTGGGGGTTGGTCTTTTATCCCAAAAAAGTGACAGGATGAGAGGAAGTGGCCTCAAGTGTCACCAGGGRAGGTTTGGATTGGATATTGGGGAARWTTTCTTCATGGAAAGGGTGGTCAAGCATTGGCACGGGCTGCCCAGGGGAGTGGTGGAGTCACCACACCTGGAAGTGTTTAWAAACAGTGYGGATGTGGCTCTTGGGGACAAGGTTTAGTGGAGAACATGGCAGTGCTGGGTTAATGGTTGRACTTGATGGTCTTGGAGGGCTTTTCCAACCTCAGTAAATCTGTGATTTGTTGAGGGAAAAGAAAACAACAACCCCTTCTAGCAGAGGACTCCTGGTGCAGTTCTCTCTCCTGGGGTCCTGAGCAGATTTCTGGCGAATTTAGAAGTTTTCAGGTTTCCCTTTGACTCCATGTCTGGGGACAGAAATGTCCATGAGGGCCACAACARTGTCCTGGTGGGAGCYAGACCTGCTGGGCAGGAGGTGACCCTGCACTGGCAGAAATCCCAGCAGTGTGTTTGCTGTCCTGACCACATGTGGCCACATCTGCTGAGCACCTTGCCAACAATCATTTCCCTCTTTCCCTAGGTGCTCTACAAGCTCTTTCGCTCTTTCTGCGAGATGCCCACCATCAAAAGCGTGGACGTTTTTGCCGGGGTTGGAAAATTCTTCGTGGTTGGGCTGGGAGGAGTTTTGGTGGGGCTGAGTTTTGGGTTCACCGCCGCCTTCACCACRCGTTTCACCAAGGACATCCGCGTCATCGAGCCCCTCTTCGTGTTCCTGTACAGCTACCTGTCCTACCTCACTGCCGAGATGTTCCACCTCTCCGGGATCGTGGCGTAAGTGAGACCTGGCACCTCCTCTCTCCAGGAAAACTTCCTGCCTAAATTCACTGGAAAACATCCCAAAAAGTTTTAAAGTTTGGGAATCTGTGTGTGGCGAGGAGCAGGGGTCTTTTCAAATGTAGCTCTGTTCCCCAAATCTCACATCGGTGGCTGCTGGTGGATTTGTGTCGGTTATTGAGGAATGTTTGTTTGARCTCCATGGTTTTTGTTTGGAAAGGCTGGATGTTCCAGCAGGGAGATGTCTGGTAGGTTTGGCAGAGCCAGAAGAAGTTTCTTGGCTTATTTTGTTATTTTCCGTGCGGCCCAGTCAAAACCAACACGGGGAGAGTTGCAGGGAGGATTTAGTGAGCACTTTGGAAGGGTTTGGTCTCGGTTTTTGGCAAATCTGTTCTCACACCCCCTTCCCCCTCTGCCCTCGTTGTGACAGAGCAGGGAGTGATGGGATGGCAGCACTGAAATATTCCTGCTCTTTGGGAATGGAGAATTCCAGTGGAAATGTCTGCTTTGGAGAGTCTGACTCKGCTCCAGAACTCAGACACAGCTCCTGGGTCTGTCTGGCCTCAGGTGTCACCCAACACCTCTGTCTCCACTAATGCTGGAAATCTGCTGGCCAATTTCAGCCAAAGCTGTCAGAGATCATTCAGCTCCTTTATTTTTCTTTTTACTGAGTAGATCTTCCAGTAAAATGAGTATTTTTGGGTCAAATCTTTCAGTTTTAAGAGACTAATTAAGCTTTGTGCTTACCTCATTGGCCATCTCATTGGCAGAGCAAATGATGAGACAAAAATAGCCAGAATTACCCTAATTTCCACCAAAATCTCAGTTTGAAAAGCAGGGAAAAGGGAAAACCAGAACAATCCAGCCCTCCTGGATTCTGTAGGCTGATATTTTCTACCYAAACTGAGTCAGCTGGTGCTGAGGATCACAACCACTTAATATTTCCCCAAAGAAGACACCAAAGTGCACCTACCCTGCATCARTGGCTGCAGTGTAAACAACTGTGCAGCTGATAAGAATGAAGATAAAAAAGAAAATGAAAAAAAAAAAAGTGGGCTCCCAGCTCAGCACAGGAATATCTGAGAGATCTATTTTAAAACTAATGATGTTGCTTTGGATATAAACCATTCCTGCGTCTTGCAGATTTTGTTTCCTCAGCTGGTTAATAGGAGCAATATTTGAGTGTTACTGAAAACAATTCCAGCTCTGGGAATAGGTAAGAAAAACCTATTTATAGGAGTGCAAGACAGAACAGTGAAATAAATATGCTGCATAATCATCGTGGAGCAGAAAACATTCAATCCTAATGGTGTCTCCTTCTATCAATCACAATCTGCTGTACCCATTATGGAACCCATTTGCTGTTCTTTTGAATAATGCATTTTTTTCYAAAGCAAAACAATGGCAAAGGCAGCCGATTCCTGCACTGTGCCCTTCTAATTGCCAAATTATAAATGCCTCTCGTATAGATCTGGAGTTCAAGCAATTCATTCCGTTGTGGCCAGGGAATACTGTATTATAAGAAGCAGCTTTTGGCAGTTTGYTTCTTTGAAAAATAATTTGATTGCCAAAAAAATCAATTCTGCGTAGTCCAAAAGAAATAGAAAAAATCTGAATACAGCGCAATCTGCAAAGCTGTTCTGAAAATGGGTTATAGTTTGATTTTTTTTTTCCTTTTTTTTTTTCCCTGCCCCTTGCCTTGGTGGCAATATCTTTAGCCAGGACAGGATAAGTTTATTCCTTTTCTGTGACCCTTCTGTGATCCCATGTCCATTCTCCAATAAGCATTCCCAAACCACAGCTCTGGAAGCCGCTTGCCCATAAATACTTGCAGTTTTCAGTTTTTAACTGGAACTATTTTCCCCACTATTTATTGAGGCAGACACAGAAACCTAAGTTGTTTTTTGTTTTTTTTTCTTTTTTTTAGCCTGTTGTTCAATCTGTGTTTCTCTTTCTGGCAAAGCAGGTCAGACCTAAAAGGCCTAAATCAAACCAGATCTGTTTTATAATATTTTTATGTATTGGTAGATTTTCTTAGGAGATGAGATGTGTGTTTCAAACATTTGAAAAAGGGATTTGAATCTTGGTCTCCTGCTGCTGGATAACCCAGGATCTCATTCCTCATCAAAAACGTAACAGCTTTCCCATTTCTGACGTTCCTCTCCTCTCCCTAAAGCCCAGTTTTAAAATCAGACAAACCCAGATGTTTGTGTCTTCAAAATAATGTGAAATATTTGTGAAATTCTGGGGTGAAATGGGGTATTTTCAGTGCAAATCAGTTGTGTGACAACTGCTTGGTGTCAGTAGCTCTTAGTTGATAATTCTGGGTGAGCCACCACCTCTTTCAATGCTTTTTTTTTTTTGGGTCACTTACCTGTCCTGGCCACAGCAGATGTGACCAGGTCACACCCAGAGCCAAGGACAGGCTGAGGATCTGCTTTTTTGGTGGCTTTTCTGTGATCCAGTGTCGTGATGTTCCCTGTGGCAGCAGYTTTCATGCCATGAAAATATGGATGGCCTTACCAAACAGCCATGGAAGGCAGATCTTGGAAATATAAAACCATTTTGCTTTTTAAAATTTAAAAAAAAATTTTCTATTGCTGCTGCAATATTTAGAACAAAATGTTTTGGTCCAGATTAAAATACAAAAAAAAAAAAATGGAGCTTTGGCGCTTGGAGCGCTCGATTGTTTTGACCTTCTAGGATTGCTGGCCTGAAAATGTATTGATTTGAAAAGCTGATGAATTAGGCTAACCCCATGTTCCCTGGAACTTGAAGAACCAATTATCCATGAAAAATTGCCAGGCAATTGCAAGGTCAGAGTCTGGCAAAGTTAAAGACTGGAAACTCTGTGTTGGGATGGGAAGAGCTGGCTGTTTGTGCTCTGATAAAATACAACAGATGAGGAGTTGTTCATCTGTTAAAATTTGGACAGTTTGGGCAACCTAAAAAATATTTTTTTGTCCTGCTGGTCCTGATACTCTTGGCCTTATGTAGGAAGCAAATCACCCCTCAGTGAAATCTATGTGAGCATCCAAAACTTGATGAAACCCACTTTTTTCATAATTGATGCATTGATTTTCTGCGTTAAAGTAGAAAAACATATTATTTCTTTTTCATTGTGTATTTTTCACTTCCTCAGCATCATTTCCTGTGCCATGGGCATGAAGCGCTACGTGGAGGCCAACATCTCCCTCAAGTCCCACACCACAGTCAAATACTTCATGAAGATGTGGAGCAGYGTCAGCGACACCCTCATCTTCATCTTCCTCGGGGTTTCCACCATCGGGGACAACCACGAGTGGAACTGGCCCTACATCTGCTTCACAGTCATCTTCTGTCTCATCTGGAGAGCACTCGGTAGGGTAATTGTAGATTTTGATTTTTTTGGGACATCCCAGCCAATGACTCCCTGCTCCTCCATCCTAYTCAATCCCAAATCTCGCCCTTTGCTGCAGTTCCCTGCTCTGGTGGTCAATAGAAGCTCTCACGAGATCTGTTTTATCAACAACTCTGTCTTTTTGAGCTCTTTCCCATTGCCACCATCTCCTCTTCCATTTCAGTGTCCCTCAGTCCCTTGGTGCTCTCCCAACAGGAGGGGATTTGTAGGAACACACCTTGGGATCAGAGATCCATGGAAATCCTCTGACCCCATATTCTGGATTATGGAAGTTTATGGGATTAAATTCATAAAGTGCTCGTGTGCAGCACCATCCTTCACTGTGAAACTGGAGGGACATTCCCAGAGCTGCTCTGGAGAGTGAGATTTGGGACCTTAACTGTGAGGATGCTTCTGTTCCTACTCAAGAATTTCGGGTCAGGGCTGAGAGTGGCAGAACTGGGGATTGCTGAGGTTGGCAGGGGCTTGTGCAGGTCCAGCCCTCTCTGAGCAGGGTCAGGCAGGCAGGACTGTGGTTTTTKATTATCTCCATGGATGGAGRCTSTGCAACATCYCTGGAAAATGTATTGGGGTGTTTGACCAACCTCACAGCAACAGAGACCAAACCCTGGTGATAGTGAGGAGCAGGAAAGCAATCTCCTGATTGCTGATCTCAGGAATTTCTTTGGCCACAATTACAATGAAAACCCAAGTCCTGGTCCCAGAATTTCCTGGGATCCCATTTTCATGCACTGTAAATGGCCAGAAAAATGAATGCTGTGTTTCCATTCTCCTCAGTTGCATCTTGTGCTGATTCCATGCTGGGAGAGGCTGGGCCATTCCTCTTGCAGTGYTTGGCACCTAAAGAGTGCAGAGTGCCTCAGTTATGGCTATTTTTATATATTAACAATATTTGTGGGTATAACAGCACACGTTTTTGGCAAGGAATTYGAGAGCTAAAGAGCATTCAACAGGATTTGTGTTTACAAACCACTGAGTCAAGCAGTGAACTCGAATTTGACAGACACTTCAAGAAATTGTTTAAATAGCTTTGGCCATGATTAGCAAGGCAGAGCAGAATGGGGTTTATTAGCTGTTAGGACATGCCAAAGTTTGTTTTAATAACTGTGCACCATACTTGGAAATGTGCTCATTAGTCAGGTTTTTGTACACTCAGTTGTTTTATTACCATTAARTGGTTTCTCTTAAATTATTTGCTCAGATAAAAGGAGTTCTGAGTGAATTTGACTTTTCTTAGCTCAAAAATTCTTCATTGCAAGATATAAGAAYGCAACAATGCTACAAAAGCACCCCAAAATTCCTCCTTAAGCACAGCCCTTCTGAGAGCAGCTCAAATTATGCAGAACATTATTAGGGAACAGCTCAGGCTGCATTGCAGGGAGAACCCTTTTCCAGTCAAAATCTCTCTGGAATTAAATAAGAACACACAAASCAGGGCTGGAAATTGTCTGAGTGGTCCTGAACTGCCTTGGCAGTGCTGRAGGAATGGTTGGACTCAATGATCTTGGAGGGTTTTTCCAATCTTAACAATTCCAGGATTTTGGAGGTGCTTGAGGTGCTGATCCAGAAATGGGAGGTGTCCCCACATTTTCTTGCAGGAATTGTGGATTTTTGGGTGTGTTAATTGTACCCCAGTCCTTCACAGAACCCTCCCAGCGCTCTTCAGTGTTTGAGAAATGATTCTGCTGAAATCTGGGGAGTTCCTTTGGTATGAGGAAGAGCAACTAAAAAGGAAAATCCATCCCCTGCATGGCAGCATTGGTGCTCTGCTGATATCCCAGCCCTGGGGAGATTTCCTCCTGCTCTGTCCTGAGGGTACCTTCCAGCAGAAAATACATTCTGCTCAGAATGATTAATTGTATGTCATCTCTTGGAGCCAAACGGCCTTGAATTAGTTTAGGGAATGTTAATAATAATTTATGAGGAAGGATTAAATGAAGACAAAAGCCAGGATATCAGCTCAAGTAARTTTTGTCCCTTTAAATCATCATCATTGCTGCCTGAGCTGTAGAGTAGGGGTGGATGTGATCCGAGGGAGGCTTKATTTTATTTAATTTATTTAATTTATTTTTTAAGTTACAAAGAACYTTGACACCCAGGTGCTTCCCACCTGCTGCTCTGGGCACCAGCTCTGCAGAGCTCTGGAGATGGGGAAAGTGTCACAAAATTCCCTGAGTTCCCTATTCCCAAACATCCCCAGCTTTTTGTTTGCTTCAAACTCCTCCAATTTACAGTCAAAGTTCAGGTATTTTTAGCTGRAGGTGTGTGGGAAGATGTTTGATATGTACATAATAAACGCTCTGTTTTTATTTCTTTTACAAACACCCTCCAGAAAGGAAGGGATCCAGCAAATTCCTAACAAAAGCTCTCAAATTGGCCACTAATCTTTGGGAAATAAGATGTTTATCACATCCATTGGTATTAAAATCACAGCCTGCTGAATTTAAGGCCTGGCTTCCTGTACCTTTCTGCATCTTTTTGTGTGTTTGCTATAAATCACAGTCACCTCACTGTGGCCTTCAGTGTGCACAGGATAAATCTGAGGGAMAGAAATGACATTCACAAGGGTGGAATGTGGTTCCTTATCCAAGCTAGTGCTGGAAAACTTTGGGAAATGCGAGGGTAATTTGTGGCTAAGTTGTTGCTGATTTACCTCAAAAGCATTTGTAACCTTAGCAATTCAGTCGTTTGTTCTCACCAATTAGAATAAATCAGTTAATATTTCCGCACCATGGCCAGTCAATATTTATAACCCCCTACATCAGAAATATGTTGGGGATTAAATTTAATCTGCTCAAATCAAATTACAACCTGTTGGATCAGACTGGAAGAAAAATTCTCCTATGGGAATGACCCCCCATGTGGCCTGGCCAGTTCCTCGTGGTTGGTGGTCACCAATTCCGTGGTGTTTAAAYGGAAAATATAAAATTATGACTTTTTTCTAATTATTTTATTTCACTGCGGTGCTTCAATCCAATCTTCACAATCTTCTTTCCAGGGGTTCTGGTGCTGACTTTCTTCGTGAACAGATTCCACGTGAACACCATCACCAGTAAGGACCAGTTCATCATCGCCTACGGGGGGCTCCGAGGGGCCATTTGCTTCTCCTTGGTTTTCCTGCTTCCAGAATTCCACAGGAAGAAGCTCTTCATCGCAGCAACGACTGTTGTCATCCTCTTCACTGTGTTCGTGCAGGTAAAACCAGAATTGGGCACAAATTCGGGATCGGGTTCCTTCCAGGAGTCTGATGGAAAAGATTTGTCTCCCCCTGCAAATTCTGGGGCTGAGTTTAAGGAATTCTGGTGYTCCAGGGCTGAATTTTAAGGCATTTTGAGGCTCCAGCAATGAGTTTTGAGCAATTCTGGTGCTCCAGGACTGAGTTTTAAGGAATTCTGGTGCTCTGGGGCTGAATTTTAAGGAATTCTTGTGCTCTGGGGCTAAGTTTTAAGGAATTCTTGTGCTCTGGGGCTAAGTTTTAAGGAATTCTGGTGCTCCAGGGTTGAGTTTTAAGGAATTCTGGCACTCCAGCACTGAGTTAAGGAATTCATGTGCTCTGGGGCTGAATTTTAAAGAATTTTGGTGCTCCAGGGCTGAGTTTTAAGGAATTCTGGTGCACCGGGGCTGAGTTTTAAGGATTCTGGGGCTCGGGAGGAGCGGCAGCTCTCGGCATTGCTGTGACATCTAGTGGTAAAACCATCCCTGCAGTTTTCTGTGGCATGAAGGGCTTTGCCCTGATCAGCAGCAAAATCTCTGAGGGCTTCTCTGAAACACAGCTTTTAGTTCAAACGGTGGCAAACAGCTGAAGGAGGAGGTGGTGGAAAAATTTAGATTGTCTGGTCCCAAAGTGAGCAAGGCCAATGTCCACCTGGTGTTTATCCCAAAAAGTTAACAGTGGGTCTCTACAGGACTGAAGGGAGTTGGGTGTGGAGATTTGGGGAAGATCTCAAGTGGAAAACCCCTCTGGGAGCTCCTGGTCAAGGACAGGAGGTCCATGAGAAGCTGCYCTCTTCTAATATTTTTATTATCCCAGCACCTCTCATGGTCACTGTGGGCAGAAAGAGCAAGAGAAATATTGGCTGTGAAATGACTTCTGAGCACAGTGGACATTTTTGTTGTTGTTTTGTGCAGAAATTTTCTTTGTGTTCTCAGTGAYAGCAGCACAGACCTGGTGGGGGTGTCTGTGTTAAAATAGGGCAGAAACTGAAGCACAGATTATTTGGGCCCTTTTAGGCTGGTTTGGGCTAGCAAAGCATCTTGTCAGAGCTCTCTTCATCCTATGATTCCCTCGGAAATCCTTCCCCTGCTGCCTGGAAACCCTGGTGGCACGGTGGAATGAGCAGAGAATGAGCTTTATCAGCCAGGGAACTCCTCTCTGCTGGCCCTGCTCACCCTGCTGCATTGGGCTCTGACCATAAGGAGCCTGGTTAATCATTTTGGGAGGTTTACTGGGCCATTATCAGATCCTCAGTGCTTCCAAGCAGGCTGGGTCTGTGCCATAGAGACCAAGAACTCATCCAGGGAGCTCTGGGATTGTCTGGAATGTCACAAACCCTCTTGTTGTTCTGCCTCTCCATGTGGTTTTAAACTCAAACACTGTTTGCTCTCTCAACTTACTGCCCTCTGCCGTGAAATTCTGAGCAAATATCATAATTGTGRAGAGGGGGGTGTTTTTGTTTGCTGCCTGGAGGGAGCTGTCAGCAGCTCCCTGGAATGAGTTGTCCCTGGTGGGTGGAGGAGCACCAGGGGGACCTGCAGGTGAGCTGGGAAATGATGTATGGCCTGGAAAAACACAGGGGATTCCCACAACAGTCCCAAAATGCTGCTTTAAAATGAAAACAATGGCAGCTGATTATCCAGGAAGGCAAGAGGCCAAATTGCACAGTCTCTACTTAATTTTTTGTAATATCTGTTATTTCAGAATTTGTGAGTTCTGTGTTGTTGACTCTGAATAGTGATGCATTTTTTATTGCTATTAGCTATTAAAATGACACATTAATTGTTTCTGCAATTAAAAATGTGTTCAGCTCTCCTCTGTGCCAGTATTTGTGACATTCAGGAGTCATAAACATCAACTACTCCATCATTTTTGCTGTAAACACATCCTAGAAAAGTCATTTCATACGGAGGCCAGACYAAGAAACACACCACGACAGCATTTGAGCTCTCTCACGGGGCTTAAAGGATATTAAAACTTTTCCCTTGACCCTTCCCACCAGGTGGATGCTTTGATTAGGAAATTTAGCACTGGGTGAGCATCAGAGATCGCTGCAGTRATGGGGTGAGACACACGGTGCTCGAGGAATGAGCAGATGATTGCTGCAGAACCTCCGTGCTGAGAAATCCCAAGGATTATCCTCATTTCAGGCATTTGAACTTGGATGGTTTCGAGCCCCTTTCCATCTGGGAGGCCACAGGCAGCAGCAAACCACAGGCTTGACCTTGGAATTAATGGTTGGCTTTTTGTGGTCACGGAGGGAATGAGCAGAGATTTCCCCTCGTTGCCTCCCCCTGTCCTGAAATCTCTCCGTGAGCTGCTGCTGACAGGTTCGTACCAGGAGCAAACTGAGGGTTTGGGATACACTAGAGAGAGCAATTTCTAGTCCTCTTGAAAGTTTATTGGAGGTTTTCTCCTGCCAGGGAAGCAGAGCAGTGGGAGAGGCTGCTCCAGCACCAGAACAAGGTCGCTGTGGCTCAGTCCCACGCCGGTGGCTTTTGTTCCAGGGCAGGAAAATCAGATATAAGGAAAGGCTGATTTTTGTGCTGGTGGTTGTTTTGCAGGGAATGACCATCCGTCCCCTTGTTGACCTGCTGGCTGTCAAGAGGAAACGGGAGAGCGCTCCCACYGTGGGAGAGCAGATCCACATTCGGGTGAGTGGAGCATCCATGGCCTGAGATTTCTGGGATCTCCTGGAATCTTGTGTCTCCAGGGACTCTGAGATCTGCAGTTTTAGGTCAGCCCCTTTCCATGTTGGAAGTTCTGTCCCACTTCCCAAACTTGGGTTATTTTTGCATTGGAAGAGCAGCCATCAGTCAGGCTGATGCAGCATCAGATTGTGCACAAACATGACAAAAACTGTGATTTCTCACCCAAAACTTTAAGCTCTGACCTAACTCAAATTTTTTCTGGTCTGTGGAAAGAGAGAAAGAAAGAAAATGAGGCTGGCTTGCTTTCAGGATTAGGAACTCCCATGTGTTCTCCACTCCCATCACCACCMCTGGTTTGGATATTTTTGCAAAAAAGGGAGGAAATGGAGAATGGGGTTGGTGCTSTATTGGAGGGAACCTCTGGAGTGCTCCATCCCTGGAATTATTCAAGGMAGGGTTGGACRGGGCTTGGAGCAACCTGAGATAGTGGAAAGTGTCTSTGCCCRTGGCAGGGGTGGGATGAGATGAGTTTTAAAGTCCCTTCCAACCCAAAGGTGGGATTTCTCACCATCCAAATGTTGGCATTTCTAGTCCTAGAAGAAAATGAATATATTTCTGAATCGAATTGTTCAATCCCAGCCACTTGCTGGTATGGCTCCTCCAGGAATATCATTGTCATTGTTTTCTTTGAAAATAAAGCCATTAGGACATTTATAAAACCTGTTTGGCATCCTCACAATGGGGTTGGACTGCAGGGCTTTGTCTGAGGTTAACTCAACAGCTCAGGAGGCTGAAGAGCCTTTTCCCACCGTGAACAGAGAAAATTTTGTTCTTTTGTTAGGGCGTGAATGGTAAATCTCAGTAATGTGTTTATTAGGAGGTGTGAGCTGAAAAAGGCCGTGCACCAATTAAGTTGAGAAGGTAACRATGCAAATAGTTGGAAATCAGGGATGCAGAAGCCAGAAGCAGCTTTCATCCTCAAATTTATTTTGCCATCTGG